CTAACCTACCTAACCTAACCTAACTTTTTCGGCTACCTAACCTAACCTAACCTATAAAGATAGGTTAGGTTAGGTTAGGTAGGGTTGGTTAGGTTCGGTCATATATCTACGTTAATTTTAACTCCAATAAAAAAAAATTGACCTCATACGTAATGAAATGGGTTGCTTTATCATTTCACAAGAAAAAAACTAGAGAAAATATATTAATTCAGGAAAACTTGGCTTATTAGGCAAATTGGGCCTTGCGTAGTAGGCCGAGAAGTGCGTTCCGGCTACTAGGTACGACATATATATATATATACATATATGTTGTACCTAGTAGCCAGAGCGCACTTCTCAGCCTACTATGCAAGGCCCATTTTGCCAAATAAGCCACGTTTTCATGAATTAATTGTTTTTCGACTACCTAACCTAACTTTTTCGGGTACCTAACCTAACTTTTTCGGGTACCTAACCTAACCTAACCTATAAAGATAGGTTAGGTTAGGTTAGGAAGGGATGGTTAGGTTCGGTCATATATCTACGTTAAATTTAACTCCAATAAAAAAAATTTACCTCATACATAATGAAATGGGTAGCTTTATCATTTCATAAGAAAAAAATTAGAGAAAATATATTAATTCAAGAAAACTTGGCTTATTAGGCCAATCGGGCGTTGCATAGTAGGCTGGAAAGTGCGTTCTGGCTACTTGGTACAACATATATATATATATATATATATATATATATATATATATATATATATATATATATATATATATATAACTTTAGAACACTTTCCCACCAGGAGACTCGAACCCTAGCCAGCACAGAAGCCTTCCAGCAACTGGCATAACAGGTACGCCTTAACCCTCTCCACCACCTGCTCAGACCCTTAAAAGAGATGGTAATTTCGGAGTATTTAAATACACCAAAGATCACCACCTCCCAAGAGCACTAGAGCTAGTGAGGGGTCATTTAGACGTTAATTTCATCAAGTCCCTGTTAATATGGGAAGACACAGTGTCTATGCTTAAGGCACTTTGTGCCTTAAGCATAGACACTGTGTCTTCCCATATTAACAGGGACTTGATGAAATTAACGTCTAAATGACCCCTCACTTGCTCTAGTGCTCTTGGGAGGTGGTGATCTTTGGTGTATTTAAATACTCCGAAATTACCATCTCTTTTAAGGGTCTGAGCAGGTGGTGGAGAGGGTTAAGGCGTACCTGTTATGCCAGTTGCTGGAAGGCTTCTGTGCTGGCTAGGGTTCGAGTCTCCTGGTGGGAAAGTGTTCTAAAGTTGTATACTTCACTCTCGTGTTTAGGAGAGTTGTGCCTTATATATATATATATATATATATATATATATATATATATATATATATATATATATATATATATATATATATATATACATATATATATATATATATATATATATATATATATATATATATATATATATATATATAATATAATATATACACGTTCTCGATAAGAGAGAGCTTACCCACTGGGAAATAAATAATATTTGAAGAGGGAATGAGGCCATCTCTCAAGGCCAAAGTGGTGGTATAGGCAGGAAGAAGGTAGTATGACATTAGGAACACATTAACCCTTGATCAAAGAAAGGTACGACGGTCTTCCTCGCGGCCAAAAGTCCCGAAAGATGATTGTGTTGCGGGTAGTGAGGAAGAGCAGAGTACCGTGGCCACTACTCCAGTGGTGTAGAGCAGAGTACCGTGGCCACTACTCCAGTGGTGTAGAGCAGAGTACCGTGGCCACTACTCCAGTGGTGTAGAGCAGAGTACCGTGGCCACTACTCCCGTGGTGTAGAGCAGAGTACCGTGGCCACTACTCCAGTGGTGTAGAGCAGAGTACCGTGGCCACTACTCCAGTGGTGTAGAACAGAGTACCGTGGCCACTACTCCAGTGGTGTAGAGCAGAGTACCGTGGCCACTACTCCAGTGGTGTAGAGCAGAGTACCGTGGCCACTACTCCAGTGGTGTAGAGCAGAGTACCGTGGCCACTACTCCAGTGGTGTAGAGCAGAGTACCGTGGCCACTACTCCAGTGGTGTAGAGCAGAGTACCGTGGCCACTACTCCAGTGGTGTAGAGCAGAGTACCGTGGCCACTACTCCAGTAGTGTAGAGCAGAGTACCGTGGCCACTACTCCAGTGGTGTAGAGCAGAGTGCCGTGGCCACTACTCCAGTGGTGTAGAGCAGAGTACCGTGGCCACTACTCCAGCGGTGTAGAGCAGAGTACCGTGGCCACTACTCCAGTGGTGTAGAGCAGAGTACCGTGGCCAGTACTCCAGTGGTGTAGAGCAGAGTACCGTGGCCACTACTCCAGCGGTGCAGAGCAGAGTACCGTGGCCACTACTCCAGTAGTGTAGAGCAGAGTACCGTGGCCAGTACTCCAGTGGTGTAGAGCAGAGTACCGTGGCCACTACTCCAGTGGTGCAGAGCAGAGTACCGTGGCCACTACTCCAGTGGTGTAGAGCAGAGTACCGTGGCCACTACTCCAGTGGTGTAGAGCAGAGTACCGTGGCCACTACTCCTGTGGTGTAGAGCAGAGTACCGTGGCCACTACTCCAGTGGTGTAGAGCAGAGTACCGTGGCCACTACTCCAGTGGTGTAGAGCAGAGTACCGTGGCCACTACTCCAGTGGTGTAGAGCAGAGTACCGGGGCCACTACTCCAGTGGTGTAGAGCAGAGTACCGTGGCCACTACTCCAGTGGTGTAGAGCAGAGTACCGTGGCCACTACTCCAGTGGTGTAGAGCAGAGTACCGTGGCCACTACTCCAGTGGTGTAGAGCAGAGTACCGTGGCCACTACTCCAGTGGTGTAGAGCAGAGTACCGTGGCCACTACTCCAGTGGTGTAGAGCAGAGTACCGTGGCCACTACTCCAGTGGTGTAGAGCAGAGTACCGTGGCCACTACTCCAGTGGTGTTTAGCAGAGTACCGTGGCCACTACTCCAGTGGTGTAGAGCAGAGTACCGTGGCCCCTACTCCAGTGGTGTAGAGCAGAGTACCGTGGCCACTACTCCAGTGGTGTAGAGCAGAGTACCGTGGCCACTACTCCAGTGGTGTAGAGCAGAGTACCGTGGCCACTACTCCAGTGGTGAAGAGCAGAGTACCGTGGCCACTACTCCAGTGGTGTAGAGCAGAGTACCGTGGCCACTACTCCAGTGGTGTAGAGCAGAGTACCGTGGCCACTACTCCAGTGGTATAGAGCAGAGTACGGTGGCCACTACTCCAGTGGTGTAGAGCAGAGTACCGTGGCCACTACTCCAGTGGTATAGAGCAGAGTACCGTGGCCACTACTCCAGTGGTGTAGAGCAGAGTACCGTGGCCACTACTCCAGTGGTATAGAGCAGAGTACCGTGGCCACTACTCCAGTGGTGTAGAGCAGAGTACCGTGGCCACTACTCCAGTGGTATAGAGCAGAGTACCGTGGCCACTACTCCAGTGGTGTAGAGCAGAGTACCGTGGCCACTACTCCAGTGGGGTAGAAGGCTCAAGACTGAGCATTTACAGGTAATATGGGGGATACCTTTAGCCAGCTGTAGGTTTGTGTAGGATAGTGTTACGCACGCTCACGCACACACGCGCTCGCGCATGCACTCACACACGCACAGAATACCTTTGGTGTTGTTGCTGATGTCTAGACACCTTTGGTGATGCTTTGAATTGTAGAGTCCTTTGGTGATGCTGCTGAATTCTAGACTCCTTTGGTGATGCTGCTGATGTCTAGACACCTTTGGTGATGCTGCTGATGTCTAGACACCTTTGGTGATGCTGCTGATGTCTAGACACATTTGGTGATGCTGCTGATGTCTAGACACCTTTGGTGATGCTGCTGATGTCTAGACACATTTGGTGATGCTGCTGATGTCTAGACACCTTTGGTGATCGTGCTGATGTCTAGACACCTTTGGTGATGCTGCTGATGTCTAGACACCTTTGGTGATGCTGCTGATGTCTAGACACCTTTGGTGATGCTGCTGATGTCTAGACACATTTGGTGATGCTGCTTATGTCTAGACACCTTTGGTGATGCTGCTGATGTCTAGACACATTTGGTGATGCTCCTGATGTCTAGACACCTTTGGTGATGCTGCTGATGTCTAGACACCTTTGGTGATCCTGCTGATGTCTAGACACCTTTGGTGATGCTGCTGATGTCTAGACACCTTTGGTGATGCTGCTGATGTCACGATAACTCTGCTGTTGCTGAGGACATCTAGATAACTGTGGTGCTGCTCAAGACGTCTTGATAACTGCCATATTGCTGTTCATGTCTAGATAACTTTGGTGCAGCAGAAGACGTAAAGATAACTTTGGTGCTGCAGAAGACGTAAAGATAACTTTGGTGCTGCAGAAGACGTAAAGATAACTTTGGTGCTGCAGAAGACGTAAAGATAACTTTGGTGCTGCAGAAGACGTAAAAATAACTTTGGTGCTGCAGAAGACGTAAAGATAACTTTGATGCTGCAGAAGACGTAAAGATAACTTTGGTGCTGCAGAAGACGTAAAGATAACTTTGGTGCTGCAGAAGACGTAAAGATAACTTTGGTGCTGCAGAAGACGTAAAGATAACTTTGGTGCTGCAGAAGACGTAAAGATAACTTTGGTTCTGCAGAAGACGTAAAGATAACTTTGGTGCTGCAGAAGACGTAAAGATAACTTTGGTGCTGCAGAAGACGTAAAGATAACTTTGGTGCTGCAGAATACGTAAAGATAATTCTGGTGCTGCAGAAGACGTAAAGATAACTCTGGTGGTGCAGAAGACGTAAAGATAACTTTGGTGCTGCAGAAGACGTAAAGATAACTTTGGTGCTGCAGAAGACGTAAAGATAATTCTGGTGCTGCAGAAGACGTAAAGATAACTCTGGTGGTGCAGAAGACAACATATACCAATATACACCAACGCACCAGCATAAGGTAAACCGCTCTTACAAGCCAAAAATTGTAGTTTTAATATTTTAACATTGTCTTCCCCCAGTAATCTGCTTCATGTCCCTGCGTCTTGCCAGCCCTCCTCAAGGACCTCCTCCAGACGCCCTCCTCAAGGACCTCCTCCAGGCGCCCTCCTCAAGGACCTCCTCCAGACGCCCTCCTCAAGGACCTTCTCCAGGCGCCCTCCTCAAGGACCTCCTCCAGGCGCCCTCCTCAAGGACCTCCTCCAGGCGCCCTCCTCAAGGACCTCCTCCAGGCGCCCTCCTCAAGGACCTCCTCCAGGCGCCCTCCTCAAGGACCTCCACCAGGCGCCCTCCTCACGGACCTCCTCCAGGCGCCCTCCTCAAGGACCTCCTCCAGGCGCCCTCCTCAAGGACCTCCTCCAGGCGCCCTCCTCAAGGACCTCCTCCAGGCGCCCTCCTCAAGGACCTCCTCCAGGCGCCCTCCTCAAGGACCTCCAGGCGCCCACCTCAACGACCTCCTCCAGGCGCCCTCCTCAAGGACCTTCTCCAGGCGCCCTCCTCCTCCATTGTTACATTTTTGGGCAGGTGAGGCAATTTTGGCTATTGTGTGAGTTCAATCTGCAGGTCCGCCCCAATTTAAGGCTTGAGCCCTCCTCGCCATACAAGGGGGACGTGAACACAAGCCCCACTGCAACAATGACGAGCATTCACAAGAACACAGCTTTTGTCTGCAGTGTAACAACGACAAGCGTTCACTGGCAGTTTGCTTGCCACTCTCCTTGGTGTGCGATAAGTCACTGGAAACAGGAGACCTGCCAGAAATATGGAAGACGGCTAATGTAGTCCCATTATACACAACCGTTGACAGACAAGAGGCACTGAACTACAGGTCAGTGTCCTCAACGTGTATACCATGCATGGAGATGGAGAAGATCGCGAGGAAAAACTTTGACCCATTCTTAGTAGCACGTCTTATTTATTTATTTATTTATATATTTATTTATATATATACAAGAAGGTACATTGGATTTGTGAGAATACATTGGATAGTACAGTATTTACATTCTTGTAAAGCCACTAGTACGCGCAGCGTTTCGGGCAGGTCCTTAATCTAGCAGATAATTTTAAGTAGGTAATTTCTATCAGAATTGATAAATGATAAAGATACATTGCAAGAGAAAAATGAGATGAGAGAGCTTAGTAAGTATATTAAAGCACATTGTTATATTAAAGCTCTGATTGATTACATTGACAACTTGATTAGTATTTTAAACAAGATTAATAGACACCATACAGCAGATTGACAGCACATATAAGACAGCAATGATCACAATGGTAAAGATGTTCAGATTGGGTACAGAAAGATTGGGAGACTGGGTAGCAAAAGATACAGATAAACAAGATTTATAAACACCATACAACATATTGGCAGCACATATAAGAAGACAGCAATGGTCACAATGGTAAAGATGTTCAAATTGGGAACATAAAGGTTGGGAGATTGGGTAGCAATAGATACAGTGCAATTTTAAGGCAAAAAGTGAGAAACTATGAAGATGACATTAGGTAATTTTTAGTATTGATTTTGAATGATGTAAAAGTTGGACAGCTTTTCAATTCAGTAGGGAGTGAGTTCCATAAACTGGGTCCCTTTATTTGCATAGAGTGTTTACACAGATTAAGTTTAACTCTGGGGATATCAAAGAGATATTTATTTCTGGTGTGGTGATAATGGGTCCTATTACATCTGTCCAGGAAGAGTTTCAGACAAGGATTTGCATTTAAGAACAGGGTTTTGTAAATGTAGTTGACACAAGAGAATTTGTGGAGTGAGATTATGTTTAGCATGTTTAGGGAGTTAAACAAGGGGGCTGTGTGTTGTCTGAAAGCAGAATTTGATATTATTCTGATAGCAGATTTTTGCTGGGTGATGATGGACTTGAGGTGGTTTGCAGTGGTTGAACCCCATGCACAGATACCATAGTTGAGATAGGGATAGATTAGTGCATAATATAGAGAGATGAGAGCAGAGTTAGGTACATAATATCTGATTTTGGAGAGTATACCAACTGTTTTAGAGACTTTCTTAGTTATGTGTTGTATGTGGGTACTGAAGTTGAGTCTCTTGTCTAGGAATATGCCAAGAAACTTTCCATCATTTTTATTGCTAATGTTTACATTGTCAATCTGAAGCTGAATTGCATTTGTAGATTTGCTTCCAAATAGGATGTAGTAGGTCTTTTCTATGTTAAGTGTTAGTTTGTTGGTTGACATCCATAAGTGGACTTTTTTTAGTTCATTATTAACAACATCCTTTAGTGTATGTGGGTTGGGGTTGGAGTAGATGAGGGTAGTATCATCAGCAAACAAAATAGGTTTCAGAATGTTAGAGACATTAGGCAGATCATTAATGTATATAAGAAATAGAAGAGGACCCAGGATGCTGCCCTGTGGCACTCCAACGGTTATTGCTAGAATGGGAGAGATTATATTATTGATGGCTACACATTGGTGTCTATCACTAAGATAGGACTGGATATAGTCCAGTGCATGGCCTCGGATTCCATAATGATGGAGTTTACATAAGAGGTAATCGTGATTAACAGTATCAAAGGCCTTTCTCAGGTCAATGAAGAGTCCAATTGGAAACTCATTTTTGTCAAGGGCTGAGTAAGTTATATCAAGGAGACTAATAATTGCATCGTTGGTACTCTTTTGAGAGCGGAAGCCAAACTGACAGGGGCTAAGAATGTCGAATTTTACGAGATAGGAGTAGAGCTGTTTGTAGATAATTTTTTCAAATATTTTTGATAGTATGGGTAGGTTCGATATTGGTCTATAGTTGTTTATGTCTGCCGGATTACCTCCTTTATGAACTGGCGTTACTCTTGCTTTTTTAAGGATATCAGGGAAGGTATGACACTCAAGGGATTTGTTGAACAGCAGATCAATAGGTGGAGAAAGGGCATGGGAGGCGCTCTTGTATACAATGGATGGGATTTCACTGATGTTCCCAGCTTTGGTTTTTAGTGAATGTATGATGGACACAACATCTGACGGGCTGACTGGTGAGAGGAGAAGAGAGTTTGGATAGCTGCCTGAGAGATAGGTGTTGATATGTGTCTGAGTCTGTGGGATTTTACTTGCAAGGTTAGCACCAATCGATGAAAAGAATCTATTAAATTCATTCGCCATTTCTAAGTCAGATGACGGTGTAAGGCCATCCTTAGAGAGTGTTATCTGGTTATGGGAGTGTTGTTTAGTTCCCAGGATATTAGAGATGGTATTCCATGTGCTTTTCATGTTGCCTTTTGCTTCTTTGAATCTAGTCTCATAATATGAAAGTTTTGCTTTTCTTATGATACTAGTAAGCACTGATGAGTACCTTTTAACTACTTCCTTTGAAACTTGGCCACTCCTAAATTTCTTTTCGTATTCATGTTTTTTGTTGATTGATTTAATTATGCCACTTGTGAGCCACGGGTTATTTTTTCTTTTATCAGTTACTTGTTTGGTAAGGAGGGGACAGTGAGTGTTGTAGAGGCTTAGAGTTTTGGAGAGAAAGAGGTTAGTTGATGAGTTTATATCCTGTGAATTATTAAATTCAGATTCCCAGTTAATATTGTGAAGTGCATTAGAGAGATTGCCTAAACCTGATTCACTATGTAGCCTGAATGAAAGTTTCTTGGTTTCTGGTGGTGATGTGTCAATGTTTGCTAAGAGGAAAGTAGGATAGTGGTCAGTTGTTATGTCATAAATTACCCCAGATGTAAGGGGAGCTGTTATATTAGTCCATAGGTGATCCAGGGTAGTGGCAGATGTTTGAGTGACTCGGGTGGGATCTGGAGAGAAGGGACTTCGTGACAAACCACCAACATGGGTTCAGGGAGGGTAAATCTGACAAACTGAAGGAATGGTCCAACAAATGGTTGTTAGAGTTTAGCCCAAGCAAATGTAAACTAATGAAGACAGGTAAAGAGAGCAGGAGACCAGAAACAAGATACCATTTGGGAGATGAAATCTTTCAAGACACAAGGAGAGAGGAAGACCCGGGGTTGATATCCTGCCAGACCTGTCCCTTGAAACACATATCCAGAGGATGTCATCAGCGGTGCATACTAGACTGGCCAACATAAGAACTGGCATCAGAAACTTGTATAAGGAATAATTTAGAACCTTGTATACCAAATAGATCAGACCAATCCTGAAGTATATAACTCCAGCTTGGAGTCTGTATCTAGTGAAGCACAAGACTAAATTAGAGTAGGTTCAACGATATGCCAACAGACTCGTACCCGAGCTGAGAGGTATAAGCTATGAAGAGAGACTACAGGAACTAAGCCTCACGTCGCAAAAAGACAGAATAGTTGGGGAGACATGATCACTACATAATAGAATCTCGGCAATTGATAGGGTAAATAACGACAGTTTATTTAACAGACGTGGAACCAGAGTTCCCTAATGAGCCATAGAGACATTATAAAGAACTTTTGCAGTGTCAGAGTAGTTAACAGATGTAATGCATTAGGCAGTGATCTACTGGAGGCTGACTCCATACAAAGCTTCATGTATAATGATAGAGCCCAATAGGCTCAGGAATCTGAACACCAGTTGATTGATAGTCGAAAGGCGGGACCAAAGAGCCGAAGATCAACCCCCGCAAGCACAATCAGATGAGTACAAGAACACAACTTCTCAAGTACAACAACGACGAGTGTTCACTCTACATTGTTCAACATTTATACACAATCATTCACATATTTAAGAAAGAACAAAAAATGAATCATCACTGTTTTCTGAGTCCTTATGTAAATGACCCCATTGTTACTTGTGGGGTAACCTGACCCCATTGTTACTTGTGGGGTAACCTGACCCCATTGTTACTTGTGAGGTAACCTGACCCCATTGTTACTTGTGAGGTAACCTGACCCCACTGTTGCTTGTGGGGTAACCTGACCCCATTGTTACTTGTGGGGTAACCTGACCCCATTGTTGCTTGTGGGGTAACCTGACCCCATTGTTACTTGTGAGGTAACCTGACCCCATTGTTACTTGTGAGGTAACCTGACCCCACTGTTGCTTGTGGGGTAACCTGACCCCATTGTTACTTGTGGGGTAACCTGACCCCATTGTTGCTTGTGGGGTAACCTGACCCCATTGTTACTTGTGAGGTAACCTGACCCCATTGTTACTTGTGAGGTAACCTGACCCCACTGTTGCTTGTGGGGTAACCTGACCCCATTGTTACTTGTGGGGTAACCTGACCCCATTGTTGCTTGTGGGGTAACCTGACCCCATTGTTACTTGTGGGGTAACCTGACCCCATTGTTACTTGTGGGGTAACCTGACCCCATTGTTGCTTGTGGGGTAACCTGACCCCATTGTTACTTGTGAGGTAACCTGACCCCATTGTTGCTTGTGGGGTAACCTGACCCCATTGTTACTTGTGGGGTAACCTGACCCCATTGTTGCTTGTGGGGTAACCTGACCCCATTGTTACTTGTGGGGTAACCTGACCCCATTGTTGCTTGTGGGGTAACCTGACCCCATTGTTACTTGTGGGGTAACCTGACCCCATTGTTACT